TTCCGGAACATTTTATTTTATGTACAGTATATGTAAATTGTACATATAGCAAGTGATGTACATTGGAAGATTTGGAAGCTATTGGAATCTTCCAATGCACATCACTGCATATAGCTATACCTAAAATACTTCCTTTCCATCATTGTAATTTCTTTAAAAAACCTGTTTAACCGATCACCAGCATTGAGGTGAATTTGCGATTTTTTTTTTGGAATTCTAAAATCTAAACTTCTGATAAATAACCGAAAATAAAAAATGAAATAAAAAAAAAATTTTTCGTCTACAAAATTTGTTCGAACATTCTAATGTACAATTACTAAAGTCGAGCATAAGGCTGCAAAGAGATCAGTTTCACTATATTTCTATATAATCTAATCCATTATTACACATACAGTACGTTAATCCATCTTCAAAATCACATAATTTTAAGTTATGAGAAGTGATTTGTTGAGATCCTTTATCCCTTGTACTATAATCCATTGAACAAGATATTTTTGTGGAATAAATAAGTAATGTATGGCAGGGTAGGAATACAACAGAGATTGGCTTAAATACAAGGTATGCGACACCATCATGCATTAATAGCCTGAAGCCCCGTGCATACATACATTCACTGCTGATATTAAAAAAAAAAGTCTTTCCCAGTTATCAAAGTATAATATTTTTAAATCTTTTACTTTGTATATATTTAGTTACATTTTATGTATATATGAACACTTATTGTCAAGATTCTTTTTTCAAAAGTCACTACAGTTGTAAACTATATTAAATTGTTAAAATAGTTATTTTTTCATACATTAATGTAAATAATAAAATCTTAATAAAAATTTTGATGTTTTTAAAGTTTTTGATTCTTAAAAACAAGAATTGTCGCAAAAAAAAAAAAAAAAAAAAAAAAAANATGCATCAGCTCGTATTAGTTGGTGTGAAAAATATAAAGAAAAAACAGCTCGTGATTGGGCACAAGTTATTTTCTCTGATGAATCAAGTATTGAGATTGGAAAGCAGTCATGACAAATAAGAATTTGGAGGCATACAGGGGAAAGGTTTAACACTGAATGTTTGACACCTACCTTTAAAAGTGGTCGAAAATCAGTTATGGTTTGGGGATGTTTTGCGGGAGGGATAAAAGGACCATTGATTTTTTGTGATGAAAATAAGGAAGGAAATGAAAAAATCAATTCAAATACATATGTTAGAATCTTAAATAAACATCTCCATCCATTTCATCATACAGTTTGCAAATTAACAGGAAGGGCTGCAAGTTTTCAACAAGATAATGCACCCATTCATACTGCGAAAATAACTAAAGATTGGTTAAAGAAGAATAAAATTGCGATTATTGATTGGCCGGCCAATTCCCCTGATTTAAATCTAATAGAGAACATTTGGAAGCAGTTAAAAGACAATATCCAGAGTCGGGAGGTCTTTCCTAGAACTGTGGGTGAACTTAAAGCCACACTAAGTGAAGAATGGGAAAATTTGGACTGCTCCATTTTTGAAGAAGTTGTTGTCTCAATGCCACAACGAATCAATGCAGTACTAGAAGCAAAGGGAGGGCCAACACATTATTAGCCATTTTAAAAGTTATTTTTTTATGTAAATTTTAATGAGAATTAATAAAGTTTTGCCGATTTTGGCATTATTTTTAAATCAGGCAATACTTTCCGACGCGACTGTACATGCCAAATTAATGCCTTTATTTACAAATATAACACATAAATCCATCTTTTTTCATATTAATATTTTCATTAAAATTGCTATGAATCGCCGGTGTCACGTGATTTTTAATAATGTATAATTTGTCACCCCGCGTCACACCCTCCTTGTTTCCGTTTTTACTATGTATTCCAGGGACTTAGAATTTATTTAGTATAAAAAATCCTATATGTCATCCTTATTTGTCACATCCAATAATTCCAGCCAAATTTTATAATTCCGGCCAAAATATCCTTTTTTGGAAACTTGAGTAACGTTACACAATCCAAAAAAGGCAATTTTGTTTCTCATAAAAATCGGGAAATGAGTTACACAATATTCCAAAAAAGGCAATTTCTATGTCGATCATTTAATTCCGGCCAAAATTAAAAAATCACGTGACACCGGCGATGATCGCCGCCGGCGATAAATAGCAAACTCCTATTTTCATATCTATAATATATCATCCATCTAATGTGTTTTTGGTTAATCATGCAAACCGTGAATTTAATACTCAATTATTGTTAACTCAAAGTTGCAATTGAAAGTACTATAAACTATGATCATTAATACATTTTCAAAATTTTATTATAGAAAAAAATAGGCTAAATAATAAAAGTAAAAAAAATGTTAATAATAATTATTATACTTTTAAAGACCTAAATTAAACTTATTTAACAATTCTTTTAAGCGTCATCAATTTCATCAATTTCGTCGAGATCTATGAAATAAAATAAATACATAAGATTGACGGAGAGGATATTAATAATAATAAAACGAAAATTTAAAAAGTCAATTGACAACTAAAACATTCCGACACTATAAAATTAATTAAACAATAAATATTATTGTATAAATATTACCATATGATTACATAAAATTACTTAAATTTTCTGTTGGTGATTGGACAACATCTATTTAAAGAATAAATAAAATAATAAATCTGAAAAATTTGCTGGTTCTGGCAGATTATTAAAATTTAAAGTCTACTAGTATAAATTGCTTTTGGATGTATTTGAATATTTTCAGGTTTATTATTGAATCTACTCTCATTTGATCTACTTCTTTTTAATTTGTTTTTTCTATTTGTGAATGAATTTCACTATTTTTATTATTTCTTTCATTGTAAAATTTTTTTAATATTTGATATATTCTTTAGTTGTTGGCCTATTTTCTACTTTAGCATCTAATTAAATCTGAAATTAATTTTGGTGTATCATTAGAAATTTTTGATCGAAGTCCTTTGCATATCTTAATAGCTAAAGAATGATCATGAGGGATATTATTATAAGGAATTTTTTCTGTCATAAATGAGTAAATATCTGCGTATTGATGTCCGCGTAAAACTTCTGGTGGCATATAAGGTACTCCATCAACCACTCATTTTACCATATACTTGTTAAATCACTTATATATGAAAACGCAGAATATAATATATTCAGACTAGCTTAAATAATTTTTTAAATTTCCATGCTTACAATATCTTAAGACCATTATCATATAATTTTTAGTAATTTGGTCTTGAGTCAAGCAAAAACAACTAACAACATTTTCAAAATAAATATTAACCTAATATGAATATTAAAGGAGAGAAGAAAAGCAAAATAAAATTTTTTATTTTTTAGGCAAACGATCATATTATTAAAAAAAAAATAATAATTACACATATATGACATGTATGAGATTTCGAATTACCTTATTTAGAATAACTGCGCCTATATCAGAAGAATTATCCAAGCTTTTTAACACAACTGTGAAATACGAATCTCTTATCCATTTTTGATTCTCAATATCCCAACACCTGCTGATATATCCTTCTGGATTAATCAACCAATACAATACAATTTAGGCACCATTATAATTATTTATCATCTAATTCAAAAATTTCAATAACTGAACAAAATATTAAATGTTTTTTTAACTACTATTTGTAAGTTTTCTTTGCTATTAACGAAAGGTTTCTTTGACGTTACAAAAATTTAGATTTAACCAAAAAACAGCCGATCACATGATTTTAAATTAAAATATTCGATTTAAATTTTAAATATTTTAAGACCTTTTTTTCCGTAGTAAGCAATTAAAATTTAGATAGCTATTTAAATTAAATTAGTTGTAGAATATAAAGAGATGAATAGATGAGTTAATTAAATTTACAACCAAGGATTAAAAATATATCTAATTAATCTATAATCAAGTCATACTCTTTAATAATATAGACGAATGTTTTCAAAATTCTTTGATACTCAGAAAATAAGAAAATAAAATTTATCATTAACATTATATAATATATTTTATTAATTGGACAACAGCGAATATATTCATATTTTCGTATAATTTACTTTAAATTTATTAAATCATATATCAGATATTGATAGCTTTTAATCTCTGAAAAACTTATAACGTAATCTGAAGCCCAGCTATTACTAAAAATAACTTCTAAATGATATAATTATTATTGATCTCGAGAAATATAACAATGAATTTGCATATAGTTCGAAGCCTAAAGAAAGTCATTAGGGATAATATATGAATATATGATATTTTTTTTCTGGTTTATACAGTACACATCAATTAATTATTTTTTCAATAAATAAATTGTCTTTAAGGTTATAAATAATTCGAGAAAATTTTATGAAAAATACAATCCTAAAATATTATAAAAATTTAAATTTAATAAAGAAAATAAAAATGATCATTATTCACTAATCATATTAATACCGTTCAAGAATCATTTGTTTAATTATCAAATATTCGTTAATCGTTTATACTATTTAGAAATAGTCAATAGAATTAATTTCAAGTTAGTAAATACCCTATAAAAAAATTCCGAAAAAACTCGATAATGTATTCCGAAGAAGCTCAAACACGTGATCATTTTTCTGAAAAATTTTTTGTAGGGATACAGTACAACATGAGAATATGGTCCTAACGTAGAGTTTTTTTTACCGAATTATAACGTATTGACTTATTAAAGCTTGAATATTGCTAAGTGTTCGATCATGTGCATTTTTAAATTATAAAGCGCTATAGTTGAAAATACACTATGGTACAATTTTTATATCACATGATCGGCACGTTGCACAAGAAGTTTTTATTATTAAACTTCAAGAAATAATGCAATAAAAATAGCTTGGACTGATCGCCGAATTTTTACCAGATGAGGATAGTTACTTATCATATGACTGTCACTTTGATTATAAAATAAAGTACGTAATCATATTTGTACAACATATCATTTATATTTATTCGTAACACAACAAAAAAAAATTTATTTTGTGCACTTTTAACTTTAACCATACAAAATGTTTACGCTAAACGAAGATATTCTTTATTTAATATTCTTTAAAGAATTACAAGATGATAAAAATACTCTTTATTCATGCCTTTTAGTAAATAAAACTTGGTGTGAAATAATTATTCCAATCTTATGGAAAAATCCTTGGAAGAAAAGAAATGAGAAAATATTATTTAACGTAATTGTCTCATATTTGTCAGATGAATTAAGGAATAATTTATATCAAGAAATTGATTTTTTGACAGATTCATATAAGAAACCTTTATTCGATTATATTAGTTTTTGTAGACATTTAAATTTTGTTGAAATTGAAAGGATAATTGATATGTATATTATCTTGGAAGAACGTAGACTTTCAATTAAAAATGATATAATCAACGTTTTTATTAATGACAAAACAAGATTTACACATTTATATATACCTCAAAATTTTAATTATCAAATACATCTTATCCCTGGAGCTGAATTTTGTTTTTCAAGACTTGAATTTCTTTTTTGTAAAACTAGCGTAAATGAGAAAGTTTTAGATGGATTAACAAAAATATGTAAATCTATTAAAGAATTGGAAATTTTTATTGAAAATTGTAATAATAATTATGAAATCATCAAATTAATTGAAAATCAAAGAAATTTATATAATATAAGTTTTACAAATGAAAATACTGATGAATCATTCTGTAAAATTCTTGAAAAGTCATTAATTAAACATGAGAATAATATACAATATTTTAAGATGACTAAACCACTTATTACAAATGTTCTTTCATCTTTTGTTAATTTAAAAATATTAGAATTGGTTAGTAAATTTAAATCTCGAAATATTAAGTGGAATTGTTTAGAAAATATTTCTTTACCTTGCTTACAGATTTTAAGGGCATATTATATTCCAATCTATGTATTAACAAATTTAATCAATAATTCAAGTGGTTCTCTTATTGAAATCAATATTGACTATATATCTCATAGTCAAAATAGTAATAAGAGGATTATTCAGGCTATTTATCAAAATTGTCCAAATCTTATGTACCTTAAAATATTATTAAAAAATAATAGTAATCTTGAATTAGAAAATTTATTAATTAATTGTCCCCGTTTGGATGGATTATATCTTATTATTAGTAATTTTATAATTAAATTTAATTGGGTTAGTTTATTTACAATATTGGCTAAATTATCACCAAATTGTTTGTTTAAATTTAAATTTAGTTATTATTATAGAGAAATTGATTCAAAATCTTTGAAATTATTTTTTAATAATTGGAAAGGTAGAAATCCTATGTTATTACAAATAATTCCAAGAACTCATTTACCAAATTTAGAAATGTCGTCATTAATAGATAAATATATAGCAGAAGGAATAGTTAAAAAATATGATTACAATATCAATTATAAACATACTACATTCAAAGATTTTGAATGGATTTAAAAAAAAAAATGTTTATTATATTTTGGATATATATTTATAGTTACCTATATTATATTACTTATAGTTACATATATTATATTATTTATACAATCCCATTAAGGGAGGACTTCATTTTATTTGTCAGGCCTCTACAAATCAATTTTATTGGTTTAGGTTTTACTTTACTCATTATATAACATTTATTGAATAGTTTTTTTTTTATAAATATATCAAATGGAGAGAGCCCAAGAAAGATATAATTATCGTTAAACAGTCTGTTGGTGTCGATTTGCATCAGTTAATAATTGGCATGCGTCAGGCGTTGATTGACATCTGAAGCACGCCACCTGTATCACATAATAACACTTTTTATTAATAAAATTACTTTTATTCTATAAATAACTTATACTGAAATTATATTGTAAAATTCACTTGAAAATACTTATAATTTTGAATGAGTGTTTTCCATGAGTTTGAGTCTAAAAAATTTAATATTTTAGGATTGCATATTTCTTAATGTGATAAATAAATTTTAATAATAAAAATTAAGTCCAGAAAATTTAATAATCAGTTATATCTTAATGTTATGTGACAAGTGACACATGTCACTACATTTTACGCACATCAGCTACTATCAACTGACGCAAATTCACACCTAAGTCATAACTTATTTGTATATTATTGTAAGATTTAGAAAAATAATAGTATAATGCAGCAAATTTTATTTAAATAAATAGTAACTTAAATTTTAATGAAAAAATTAAATATTTATTATTTAAAAGATTTTTATTTAATATAAAACTATTTCTTATTAAAATTAAACTTTATAGAATGATAAGATTATAATATTTTAGTAAATTTTTACTTGAAATACTTCATAATGTTCTATAATAAAAGTTTCTGGAATATTTATGTTAAGATAATCATTATATGTAGCACGATAAGTCCACTCATTAGAATCAGCACAATCTAATTCACCCATACTAGGTCCTTCAAAAGTATCACAATAAATAACCAGAGCTGCATTATTAACATATCCTAATTTTACAGTAGAAATATCTTTTTCATCTTTAAGATAAAATAGAAAACTATCTTTAGTGCTTTTCCTTTCCATTCCAATCAAGTGGATTATATCCTCCAACTAATTGTTCTGTACCTTGAATTTTTGCTATCCAAATAGTAGCTCCTTTATCATCACAATTTTTATGAAAGGCACCATTATTAAATCCATCCCTATCTGAACGATATAATAATTTAAATTTATAAGGGTTATCATATTTATTATAGGATGAATCTTTTCTATCGATCCATGAAGCAAATTTTAAAAGTATGTGTTTTGATTTAATCAAGGCTGAATTAAATTTTAGCCTTGATGAAAGTGCTACATTAGATTTAGGTTCCATATTAGGAACTAAATGAAATTCTAAAAGATTATGAATTAAGTCTTGAGGTAAAATTTCTTTGTGACAATGAACTTTATAAAAGAAATCTGCAGATTCAATATCATAAAATCTAATTAGAGGAATGAATCTTTGTAATGATTCACTCCATTTGGTTGGATCATTTATCACGTTTTGTTGAGAAAAGCACCATTTTAACAAACCTTCCCAAATCTCAATTTCATCCATATTTAAATCATCTCGTTTTATCAATAACTCCAATAATGGAGCCTTTAATTCAATAAATTTATCTGAATAAAATAAAATTTCAGGTACTTCACAAATTTTTTCAAGCCAAAAATCCCGTAAATTCGTAAATGATTCATGTTGATAAATAGTTTCAATAATATCGATTGGATTTTGTTGCAAAAATTCAATTTGGTGCTCAATTAAATATTCTTGAATATAAGAAATCAATTGCTTAATATTAAGTTCATCAGCTAAAATCAAAAGTTTCAATACTTCAGGATCTTGTATGTTCTTCAATTCAATATTTTCACAATAAATAAATCTGATGTCAAAAATAATCAAAAATTAATAAATTTCATCTAATTCCAAGAAAATTTTCATATATTGATTTAATTTTAAATATGACACATACATTCATTACCTGAGAATGTTCATAAATAAGTGAGGTGAAATATTTGGGTTTCTTAAAATAAATTTTCCATCTTTTTTCTCAGCCCATACATTAGAAAATGCAGTACGAAAATATTGAGACCTGTTGCACAAAATATTTTAATGAGCGTGAATTTCTTTTATATTTAGTTCTTCATCAGCATAAATAATAACATCACATCCTATTTCTTCTTCAAAAAGCCTTTTGTAATCACTGGATAATTCTGTCAAATATTTAAAAGCCATCTTTTCTTTTTTTTTTAGAAAAAAGGTTCTGAAAGGCGAAATTGAACTTGTAATCTTGTATTATCATAATTTAACAATATGTATAATAGCATAGTTAGTTGGCTTAATGATAAATTAATATGGCCTATTGTAAGCACAAAATGTTATATACTTTTACAAAAATTATTATCTGAACATGTAATAGTTACCATTTGGTTACTAACTGTTAAGACATCCCTGTAAAAAAAGTCTTCATATTCCATCTTTTTTCCGTATAAGACAGAATAATAACCTTATGTCATGGAATGGATCCGTGAAAGACTCAATTTTACAGTGTTTGGCAAATGGCTTGAAATGACAAATTAATTAAATGACATAACATTTGTCATTTGTCATATGAAACTCAAATGACCAGTCATTTAAGTTATTTAACCAATATTATAGCATAAAGTAAAGAAATAAAATATAAAAAAACCTTATGTAACAAAAAATTTTTCATAGTGGCAAATCATATCGCGTGATTCATAATACAAAAAAAATTTAAAATTCAACCATTTTCATTTGCTTTTCCAAATTTACAATAATTTCCTTGCCTATTGAGAGTCATACATTTAAACATTTCTGCATAAAGGTATTGAGTAAAATATGACAGTACGCTAACGCAACTTGGTACGTACGTGTGTTTTTTTTGTTCGTACGTACATTTACAGCTAATCAATTTTTTTGTACTAGTACGTACGAAAGTTTTAAAATTTTCGTACTAATTTAAGTTTTCGTACAATCGTACGACTTTGCATTTTTGTATTTTTGTGCAACTTTGACATATTGTTTTTAACAAAATATCTTATAAAATTAAATGTTAAATTATAAAATTAAAAAAATTCTTTGAAGATAAGCCAAAGAAGAAAAATAATTGAAAATATGGATATTTACGATGACAGAACTTCTTCAAAGAAGTAAAAAATTAAGAGATATTTACGATGACAGAACTTCTTCTTCAAAGAAGTAAAAAATTAAGAGATATTTACGATGACAGAACTTCTTCTTCAAAGAAGTAAAAAATTAAAAGAGATATTTACGATGACAGAACGTTAAAATCATTATATTACAAATTTATAAATTAATCAGATTGATCATTACACAATTATTATATTACTCAAATATTGTGTACAACATATTCATCTCAAAAATTTGATCACATGATGTTACAATGTAAAATATTAGTACGAAAAAATCAAAATTTATTTTTAAAGGTCCGTCTGAGTACGGAAAAATTAAAATTTTTTTTTTGAACGTCCGTACTAATTTGTATTACCGTACAGTACTAATTTACTATATACTCCTGCATAATAAGCAGTTTTGAATTAAGATTATAATAATATTTTTATTTGAATTTTCTTTTTATTTTAATTTTTTAAAGAAAAATTCCTAGCTATTTATAAATAAAAAACTAAGTTATCTCATCAATAAAATCTTTAATCAATATAATCATCATAAAAAAAAAACTTTGATTAATTTACCAAACTTATCTGAAAATTTACTTGGAACTTTAAACGATAACAATGAATATCATGATATTATAATTGAAGTTGGAAACGACCCTAACGTAAAAACATAAAAACATTTTGTGCTCATATGATTAATTTAAATTGTCGTTCTCCTTATTTGCAAAGAATATTATCAACTAAAAAAAAGAGTGATGATGGGGCTTTGGTACATATTAAATTAACAAATATTTCTCCTGATGTTTTTGATATAATCTTAAAGTAAGTAAGTTAAAATTAAATTATACAATGTAATGAATGATATTATTTAATAAATATATTTATAATTTACAAACTTGTTATTGTTTTTTAGATATATTTATGGAGGGAGGCTTTCTTTGAAAGAATATGATACTTCAGTTATCATTAAAATCTTGGTTGTTGCCAGTAAACTTGGTCTCAAAGAATTAATCCATATTTGGAATCTTTTTTGATTGAAAATAAAGGAAACTGGATGGAACAAAATTTTAATATTATATATCAAACGAGCTGGTGACTCTTTTTCGCAACTTCAAAAATATTGTAATGATCTAATTTCTAAAGATCCAAGTAAGATTTTTAATTCTCCAAACTTTTCCACAATTCCAGAAAACTTTTGGTTTCGCTTATTCAAAATAAAAATGCTCAAATGAGAGAAGTACAAATTTGGGAACATGTGATTAAATGGGGTCTTGCACAGAATCCAAAACTTCCCTCCAATACTAAAGAATTTACAAAAGATCAATTCATAAATTTAGAGAATGCCTTACAACATATTATTCCTTTAATTAAATTCCGTGAAATGAATTCTAAAGAATTTTCGAAAAAAGTAAAACCTTTTTGAAAGATTCTATCAGAGGATTCATTCGATGAATTATTAGATTATTTTCTGGATAGTGATAACGAGAAATCAGAACCTAGTACATTAGTGAAACAAATATTGATTCTAAGATCATTACACTTCAACGAGCTGAATTAATCTCAAAATGGATCGATAAATCAGATGAATCAACTACTTCATACAAATTCAAGTTATTATATCGTGGATCTCATGAAACACTTGCCAGATTTGATGCATTTAAAGAATCCCATAAAAAATGTGATAATAAATCTCGTACTGTGACAATTATTAAAGTGAAGAACAGTAACAAATTTTTGGAGGTTATAATAATCCAATTGAATGGAAATCTAACGGTTATGCCCTATAAAAAAAATTCTGGAAAAACCTCCGATAAATTTGATCATTTTTCTAGTTTTTATTCCGAAGAAACTAAGACATGTGATCATTTTTCTGAAAAATTTTTTATAGGGATGGTATTACTAAAGATAGTTTTATATTCTGTTTTAAGAATAATAATAATATTCTGAGTTATGTAGTGGATGAAAAGAATGCTGTGTATAATAGTTATTACGTCGGTCCATCATTTGGTAATTGTGATCTGTATTTATACCATAGTATTGAAGGTGGATTGGGATTTTCTTATAAAAAAAGTTCTTATGAAAAACAAATTAGAGAAACTGAAGAATTATGTTTTGTAGAAGAATTTGAAGTATTTCAAATTATGTTAAATTTACCTATTTCGTCATAATTTTCATAGCGTGAAATTTTTTAAAACTTTTATCTTTTCTTTTTGTTTTTTTGTCTCTTATTTTGAATAAAGAAAATCTGTAAGAATTATTATTAATATAACTGTGTGGAGTGATATTTACTATTATATTTATTACTATGATGGAAAAAAGAAAAGAAATTCTATACTTTATTGATCTTGTTCGAAGGCCTTATGGACGTATGATCAACTTATTATAGTACATGTAAAAAGGGTTAGAAAGAGCAAATAATACTAATCTGATCCACGCAGTTTATCTGAAAATAAAAAAAAGCGCGATTATAAAATATTAAAATGAAGAAATGTATAATTTTATCTTTTTCCCATCTTTACCCAAATGCTTTGTAAGCAAACTGTCCCTATTAAATAATTCAAGTTTATTTTTTATACAGGATAATCCAGACTTTATCGACTTTATCTCACAACTATAAAATAAATCAATTATCGAATATACCGAGTAGTGTACAGTACCAAGATCATTTTGATCATTTGACTTATGTGGTGATAAAACGCGTTTATGTCATTATTATACGCGACTGTTTCAAATTCCGAGTGGCTAATTATTATTATTGATTACATTACGTAAAAGATCAACAAAATAAATTAAATAAATAGACTATTTTTTTACTTTTTACTTTTTTTTATTTTTTAATGTTTAACTTTTTTTCCCATGTCTATTATAAAAAGACACCAACTTTTTTTTTCTAAGTTATTATTTACCATATTTATTATTAAAAGCCACCGCCTATTTTATATATAAACTACATAGAAAAAATAATTTTTTTTCGAAGTTATTATATTTATTATAAAAAGCCACCAATACTTTTTGACATATAACTTTTTAAAACAAGATACAAAAGCTCACTTTTCTTCTTTATTTGAATACACTTATAATACAAACATTATAGAAAATAATATTAATAGTCGTTATGAAAAATCTCCCTTTATAAACAAGAGCACTTTAATATAAAAAAAAACATTTTTCATATATAAAAGAAATAAATATTGAAACAACAAAATATTCCATATCACCATATCATTTCAACTTTCCTTTGGATATCAAGACACATTTTTAGATTTAATAGATTTTTTTATAAAATGATATGGTATTTCTTTCGGATTTTCATTAGACTGCTGGTAAGTGTAGGTTTACTGTGAATGCAGAGTTCTTGGTGGGATTATCCTCTCCTCTGTTATGTTCAAATTCATTAGTCAAAGAGTGATTCTAGCACAATGCACGGGTGTGTTGAGTTGTTCCCTCTCTGAAAGATGACCTCTAAGTCACTGAGTGTGAACTTTATGCTTACTTTGATTGTTATTAGCAGTGTTTTGGATCTCTAATATCCTGATG